AAAAAGTTTCTTATAAAAAAAAATGAAAGATTCTTATCAATTATTTTTCTTATCAAAATTTCTTGTTTTTTAGTCAAAAAAAAATAAAAGGTTTTTAGTACAAAAAAAAATAAAAAGTAATAAAAAAGTTATTGTAAAAAAAAAAAAGTTCTTAATATAAAAAAAAATAATACAACAAGTATTTTTTGTCAAAAAAAAAGGTTATTGGCTAAAAACAAAAAAAAATGTAATACGACAAACATTTCTTGTAAAAAAAATAAAAGGTTTTTTGTCAAAAAAAACTAAAATGTTCTTATAAAAAAATTATTTTTTATTGTAGTCCATGTATGATTATATACTTCATCCATGATAGTTCTATGATTTTTTTTTTTTTTGATGTAATTTAATGGTTAAAGTAAATATCTCAACATTCACATATTGATGAAAAAAATAAAACTTAATAATATAGTACCCCGATTTTTTATTAGATTCCTAAAAAACAATATTTATAATAAATTTTAATAATTTATATATATATTTTTTACAGCTTAATTCGATCGATTCGGCCGATTCCAGATCCGGATCGTCGATCCATCGATCTGGATGGATTTTTGGGGTGCTTGATCCGGGCCACCGATCGGTGTTTTAAATCGCTGCTCTAAACTACGCGCATCTTTTACTTAAAGACAATTTCACCCCTAGAAACATAAAGGAAGGACAACGTGGTATTTTGCTTAAGAGATATTGCCTAGTTTGTACCCTTAATATGGACATGTACAGTTGATCTTGGTTTATTTACAAAGTTGTCAACATCTTCGAGACATGAAAGTATGGAACTATTAAAAACCACAGTTTGGATAAAGACCGGTATTTTACCGTTCGAGTAACAAAACTTTGAAAAGCGGCTATAAAACTAATGGGAAAGTATAGAATGAGACCGTTTACTTTTGATACAAGGTAGTCACATTAATTTTGACAATTGGATGTGAAATTAGATAGCGGCAATTATTTCATTGATCAAATTCAAACTTCAAAATTTTTTTTTTCAAACTTTGTGACAAATCCAAGCTATCAAATTTCACATCAAATAGTTTGTAAGGAATTGTGACCACTTTGTATCAAAAGTAAATGGTCTCATTGTATACAATCCCAAAATTTTTATTCAATCGATTATGAGTAACAATATGAGATTCATGGATTGAAACATAGATTTTTTGAAACTTTGTTTCTATTTGAAGATTTTAGCATTAATTTATAACAAATTTATTTATTTATTTATTTATTTTGAGATTTTAACATCAATTTGTAACCAAATTTTCTGAAATTTGTTTCTATTTGAATATAATTGAATCCTATACAATATTCTTGATCAATTTGTTATTATTGAACTACGCTTCCACATCGATTTTGCTTCTAAAGGCAATAAACTGAAAAGTTCTTAAAATGTTAACAGTTAACCAAAATTGACGGTGCAGATTTGTGTCCATTTTGATCCAATTTCAGTGGGGTTTATGATCTACAGAGATGTAGTTTTCACATAATCAAGTATGTTTAATTTTCACCTCGTTTTTTTTTCTATAATTTTTTCTTTCATGAATGTACCATAAATTTTAGGGTTTCGTCATACCAATCTATTCTTCCACAAATTTGAATCAAATTTCTTGAAATTCATTTCAAAATGATCATAGTTGACCTGTATTCCATATCATAGATCCAATACAAATGGATAGAAATCGAAAAGAGCATGGATTTTGAGCCATTAAGGTGCACTGATTTTGGGGATTTTGAGAAATTGTGTTTTGAAAAATTAATAATTTTTTAATAAAAATGGGGCTTATGATGCATATTGTTTATTGATGCACATGGTGTGTGATTCAATACTTTAATCTTCTTTTTTTTTTAAAAAAAAAAATGAATTTTGATATTGTAATTTTCCATTTTTTTAAGGAAAAAAATCTTTTTTTGAAGATTTTTTTTGTCACAACATTGAAATTTATAAGGGGTTTTATTTTTACTTTTAATCATATGATATGGAAGTGTTTTCGATATTTTTTAATCATATTTATTATAATAATTATTATTATTATTATTCATTGATAATAAAATCTTATATTTTATCTATTAATTTATTTGTATTATAAATTATATAATGTAAATAAGATTTTTTTGTTTTGATGATATTATAAGAGAAAGTCAAATTTATTTTTATTTATATAGTAAAATAATTATAAAATAGGAACCAATAATTTCAATTCCATTGTATAATTTTATAGTTAGTTAGGTTGCGATAATTTTGGATGAACAAAAAAATTAATAAACATTTGATATGATATTAATTTTGGTTTATAAGTGGTATTTTTTTAAAATCTTATAATATGGAAGGGTTTTTTTTTATATTTTTTGAACCATTTTGATGCAATATTATATTATTAAATTATAATTAATAATTATATAAGCATCCAAACAAGGAAACATCTAAGTAGTCACTTATCTTTGCAAATAATAAAAATACATAATGTAACACCCATATTTTTTAAAAAACATAAAGAATAATACTACTACTAAAAATTTATGGTGATTTGTTTTAAAAAATTTAAAGCCAAAACCGACCAATCCAAACTATTCTCCAATTTAGATCTACTTATCCAACACTGTTTTTTAAGTACCCTATCCGGCTCACCAGTCTATTTTTTTAAAGATAAAGAGTGATTTGTTAAATCGGTCGGAACCAAAGACCTTCGTTTCAAAAGCAAAGTACCTCTCGTCTCTCCCCTTAACCCTTCTTATAGGCATCCTCGACCTTCTCTGACGTGCCTTTCTCCAATTCGCATTTCGTCATACTATTTGGGCTCTACGTTTTCCCTACTAGCCGTTCAATTTTGATCAAGTGTGTCATTCACCATTTTATTTTAGGTCCAACGCTTTAAAGTATTTTATTTTTAATTTTTTTATACAAATTCTAAGAATATAAACTTTAGTACATGCCATCTTTTTATTGGGTGCACCTACAAAAAGAATATTAAAAATAATTTTTTTATAACATATAATGATCAAAATACCCTTTAAAACTTTCAATGATCATTCTATTTTATTGAGAATTTTTTTATTATCTTTTTTACATGTACGAGTTTAATAGAGGATTGGACGCCCAAAATTTGAAGTCAAAATAATTTATAGTATAAAAATTAAAAATAAAATAGTGTATAAACATGACATTGTAATTGGGACAATCTTAACCCTCCATTCAAAATGGACCGTTGGTAAAGAGAAGTATATAAATTTTAGGTTATAGGGGAAACATAAAAAGTTTGCCTATAATTTTTACCTATTGTTTAAGTTACCACTATATTTCAAGAAACAAACATGGAACCTCAAATCTCGAGACAGAGAATTTCATAAACACATCGAGAATAAGTACCTGGAAATCAAGTTACTCGCATTCACCATCTGCATGTAAACAATAGTTCAAAATGTGGTTGCTCTCTAGCGTCTGGATGTTGGACTGGAACGCAGAAGCCCATATCAAAGGATGACTATGCGTCTATCTCATAGTTCCAGGAACCCTGGGCGTAATGCCACGGTCCCCTTGGGAACTCGATCCCGTGGTTTCTCTAGAGGATTTTAAATGGAGACCTTGCTCCCTATAAAATAGTATCGTCTACATGCTTATAAAAACCCTTCAAAGAGAGAAGCCCTACTATTAATTGAACTGCCATTCCTCTCTTCTCTTTTTGATATTATAAATTCATTTATTTAGAATATGTTAAATTGTAGTGTATATCAAATCATGCAATATTAGGATCACAGTATTAAAAGACTACATTTTAATGTCACTATAGGTGAATTTATGATATAACTTTAGCATTGGTACTAAGCTAAGGTGTATAATAATGGATCAACCAAGCACTATCCTCATCTGAATTTCACCATATACAATTAATTGATTTTTTTTTATGCCCCCAAGTCAAAAACTCGATCCCAGTAACATAGGATCTCGCTCCCAAGAATGCTAAGATCTAGCTCCTTAACTTGTTCGATGTATGGACGTCAATCCTAATCCCAGAGAGCTTCCACCCTATGGCGGTTCGACATTCCCCGAATCGATCCCGCTCCCACCTCCAACTCTCTCTCTCTGTGTCTATGTCGGGCAAAAAGAAAGGGCACCGAGATAGAGATCAATGCATTTTGAACAGAACGGCAATACAAGCTCCAAATTTTTTTATAGAATTCCATCACCCATTCATTAAGTACACCGATTGTGTAAAAGTAATATCTCCGCTGAAAATCATTCAAGTATATTTCTTCAAACTGAAAGTTAAAATTTTCCACATTCCTCGTCAAATCATCTTCCTAACATATTTTAAGAAATTATCAGCATGCCCCAGATAACAGCTTCTAACAATAATTGAAAAAAGATCACACCAACAGTGACTGCACAGAAGATTTCGATCATAACAGTTCCATATTTTTATTTACCAAAAAATAAACAGTCCATTATCATTTGCTAATGTTTTGTGAAATACATTACAAGATTTATTTAATCATGGGAGAAGCAGTATCTTGCCAATGTGTGTGCTGCTCTCCATAATCCTGTGGCCCTCAGCAGCTTCAGAGAGTAGAAGATACTTATAAACCACGGTCTTCAACTGACCTGATTCAATTAGCGGCCAAACATGCTTCTCCACCTCAGAAACTATCACTGCTTTGTTCTCGACTGTTCTATTTCGAAGACCAGCAGCTGTTTCTCATTCACAAAAACAGAAGAAAGAAAAAGTGAGATGATTTCGGTGACGCAGGTCAACAGTTCAGGCCCTTGAAGTTCGTTCAAGAAAAGCAAAACAAGCTGACCTAACCTTTCCTTCAAAAAAAAAAAAGAAGAAAAAGTGGGGAGAGAGACAGATGTTTAAAGTTACCAAAATTCTACTGGTTTTAGAAAATTACTCAGTAAAAGTCATGGCCATTTCCAAAAATTAAGAAACCTTTAAGTTTTCTCCTAAAAATTGTAAACCAAACCACAGAATGACATCTTCACGTTAATTTGGTTGACACATACAGAGAAAAGAGAGTGAAGGGGGAAGGGGGAAGGGGGAAGGGGGAAGAGGGGGGGGGGGTGGTGGGGTGAGACGATGCACACACCTCAGGCACTTCTTTTATGAAATCAATCAATAAGAATGAAAAAAAAAACTGGCTTTCGATGGTATTTGATGGGCATGAGGAAATCTAGTTGATGTTAACTAGATCACATTTCAGGGTAAATTACTTAAAGAGTAACTTAGTTCCAGTGGAAGCAAAATAATTGTATCTGACAGACTGGCTAATACGACACATGCTAAAGATTCCAGCATAGGAAAGACATCCATACTCAACAGCTAAGTCCAGAATATCTAATATTTATCAGCAAACAACTTATTGAAGATAGAGCATGGAAGAGCAAAGGGATGTAGTTCTATAAGTTTCGAAACATAATATTTTATGAAAAAAAACCTAATCATGCATTCCACCCGCAAAGCTAGTTAATTCCTTAAAATTCCACCTTTTTTTTTTGTGGTGGGGGGGGGTGGGGTGTGGGGGGTGGTGGTTTGGAGAGGGGATGGTCCACGGTTTTGGGAAGAATTAGAATTACCTTGCACGGTCAATCGCCTCGCAAGAATTCCTGAGAGATTGGCTTCTGCCACCACACCACCCTGGAAACCAATTATAAAGAGTCTCCCATCCATGTTTAGGCTATCAAGGTTTCTCTGGAAATAGGGGCCCCCAACATTATCCAAAATGACATCAACACCTGTCAATGAAAATTTGGGTTTGTGAAGGAAATCAACCAAACATTGCAAATTAACGCAATAGATCCAAAGCAGTGTTTTGGGACTCACCCAAGTCCACCTTAGACTTGGACAAGTTACTCGAACTCCCCCTATGGGCGACTCCAAATAGCCTCGAGTTGCGTGCACAACTTGGGGCATCTTAAAAAAATTTAAGAAAATCTAAAGAGTTTTTAAAAATTTAGAAGTGTCGTATAAATATTTTTGTATTATTTTGATGTTTTTGGCAAAAATTGGTGCGTGTTTTGTGCTATAATCCTTATTCTCATATTTTTCTACTTTTTTGAATTTTTTTAAACTGTAAATCAGTTTTTTTTAAATCCATTTTCTCTACATTTTAAAACTTATTTTAACTTTTTAAACGTTCTTTTTTATTTTATTTTACTTTCTTTACCTTTTTTTTATTTTTTTCAGATTTGAAAAGAAAATTCTATTTTATTTTAGCGCCTTTTGGCCCTGTGCAAGACTCGGGCGAGTGCACTCCAACTCACCCGAGTAACTCCACACAACCAAGGGGTGAGTCCCTTGTACGAGCCGAGTTTCAGAAACTTGGTCCATAGGGTACCTTTGCCTCCAGTTTCTTCCTTGATTCTCGCAACAAAGTCTTCAGTTTTGTAATTTATGCAGACATCGGCACCAAGCTCCTTGCAAACCTTCAGCTTCTCTTCAGCACCTGAATGGCACAACAGCTGTAGCATTATTTTACAGAGAATATATTTTATGTTCAATGTTAAGTAAATTGGATATGAATGAGACATAAAGACATTGTGCTGCTTTAATGCCAGACCTGCTGTGACAAAAACCTTTGCTCCTATGCCCTTAGCGACCTGAATAGCGAAGGTGCCAATACCACTTGATCCTCCATGAATCTGTCATTTAGCAGTAATATTACAAAAGTAAAAATAAATTATTTAGCAGTAACTTCTTTCATTATCTTTTAACACACAGACTGCCATAGAGATTTCCTTATGCATTGATGAACTCTATAACTTGAGTGGAGGATGAAAGTGAGCTTAAAAGAGATAAAATAGTGGACTACCTTGGGACTTACGGGGAAACTACAGTGAGTGAAATTAGGAAAAGAACAAAGCTTGTTTACATCTAAGGCAGATCAAATCAAAATAACTTATAATCTCCATTGATTTAAAAATTCTCCAAAGCATAATTTCAATAACCCTAAATGGGATAGAATCCACACTAAAGGAAGAAACAGAGTCATAATCTGACAGCCACAAATTGCAATTGTGAAATGCACCGAATGGTGTAACTTTTTGATCAGTACAACTGGATAATAACCAGATATGTGACTGATTTAGTACCAAGTTATTCCGTAATAAAACGCTCCCCACTTTATGTCAGGCAAACATGCTACAAGACTCTTTAAGGCTATAACAGTAATTACTATGTGGGTACTTTTTCGGGCCACTATAAGGCACAATTATTATAAATCAGGCTTTATACATTATTTTACGACATAATGAATATCAAAACATGTGTCACACCCGTGATCCAATAACGAGAAAAATGAGAAACAAGATAAATTTTTCTATCAATTATGTATAAGAAACTTGATCAATTTATTTAAATAAATACCAGAAAACTTTCACCCGAGGACAGATGGCTCATCATAAATACAGTCGACCAAACTGTACAAGCCACCTCAGGAAAACTTGCAGCATCTTTTAAAGAAACGCCTAAAGGAATGGGAAGACATTGAACTGCAGGAACAGCCACCTTTTCTGCATATCCCCCCCCACTAAGGAGAGCACAAACCTGTAAAATATGTAATGAAAATTGTCAAAACATGCAACAGACATCATTAAAGGGCGGAAAAAAGAAAAAAAGCAAGCCATGTCAAACAATGCATATCCATGGCAGTGGGATTTGAAGCACCAAACTACAAATATGGGAATCCACATTACAGTTAATAGCATCCAGTAAATTCAGATAATCTTGCAAATGAAATTGAGCACCAATGTTTTTCTTCGATAGGCTAGCAGAAGAATTAAAACTGGAGGGGTGTTGCAATAGTCAATGCCCGAACTATTCAAAGCACTGTGCTCAATCAGTAGTAGGTAAGATTCACTTGCTTTCTGGGACAAACTTCAAGGGCCGAACACTTGATCTCCTGCACTAAAACCTGGTAAGTCTACCACTATAGGTCAGCTTTGTTTGTTTTTTCTTGAAGACAAACTTCAAGCACAAACCCTTGATCTCCCACCGACAAGTGGGGTTATCTACTACTAGGAAAGAGCAAGGGATTGATCTTGAGGACCAACATTCATTTCATCGAAATGTGCAAAAATCATATCACAGTGGAAAAGCAAGAGCCAGTTAGTAAATGCAATGGTCCATTTGAATGTCAAATTTCACAATTTAATGTTCAAGTTTCAAATCGTAATTGACCTAATTGCAATCTTATTGAATTCTGACTTGCCGAGAGGGGATGTTTGATTGCTCTAATTTAAACTACAATTTATGGTGTGGTGCGAGGCTGGTGGTGGTAGCAGTGTGACGGTGGAGGAGGTGAGGTGATGGTGGTGGTGGTAGTGGAGGCAGAACAATGGTAGTGATGGCAACACCGTGGTGGTGATCAGGTTCCGATGATGCTAATGCTTGTGGCACCAGTGTTGGTGGTGGTGGTGGCAGGGCAGTGGTGGTAGTGGTGGCATTATAGGTCAGCTGTGTTTGTTTTTTCTTGAGGACAAACTTCAAGGGCAAACCTTGGATCTCCCACTGAGAAGTGGGGTTATCTACTAATAGAATAAAGCAAGGGACTGATCCTGAGCACCAACTTTTGTTTCATCTGCATGTGCAAAAATCTTTACAGTGGAAAATCAAGAGCCAGTTAGTATCATATTATCAGACGCAAGCCTAGGGTTCATTTGAATATCAAATTTCACAATTTAATGTTAAAGTTTCAAATTGTAATTTACCCAATTGCAATTTTTATTGAATTGTGACTTCGTAAGAGTGGGGTGTTTGATTGTTCCAATTTAAACCACAACTGCGTATGGTGTGGTGCAATGCCGGTGGTGGTAGCAGTATAATTGTGGAGGCCGCTTGGTGGTGGTGGTGGTGATAGTACTGGAACCATCATGATGGTTGCGATCGGATCCCTATGGAGCTAGTGCTTGTGGCAGCAGTGTTGGTGGTGGTGGCAAGGCAATGGTGGGGAAGAGGCACTGCGATGGTGTGGCTGTCGTCGTCGTCGTGGTATTTTTTTTTTGGGAAAATTTCGCATAGAACCCTAATTCCTTATATTATTTCATGGTAGACCCTCCTTCCATTTTTCTTTCAAGCGGACTAAGGACACCCTAAAAATTTCACCATACCCCCTCATATCTTATCTTCCATCTTTTATTGAATTTTGATCATAAAAATTAACCCCAAAAAATCCTTTTATACCATTTCAACCCAAAACTTTTTAATGGGTGGAAAGGGAAAAAGAGGGTTAAAAAGTTTTGGGTTGAAATGGTATAAAAAGATTTGATGGGGCTAATTTTTATGAAAAGAAGGAGATAAGAGATGAGGGGGTATGGTGAAATCTTTAGGGGTTTCCTTATGCTGCTTAAAAGAAAAACTGAAGGAGGGTCTACCATGAATAATATGAAGAATTAGGGTTCTATATGAAATTTTCCCTTTTTTTTTTCTTTCCGGGGGGTGGAGCATTGGTACAAAACCCACTCCAAGGGGGCTGAGAGAAGGAGGAGGGAGAGAGAGAGAGAGGAATATTGGTGCAAACCCACTCTAAATGGTTTTGTTGGCAATTATAATCAGGGCCTAAATTGTTTTTATTTTAGACAACAATTTGCAAAAATTATATTGAAACTGGCCAAATTTATACTTTAGTCTGGATTACAATCCGATTACGGTTTGGCTGGAAAACACTTAATTTCCCTGGAAGGCTTAGTTTCCCTAGAAGGCTAGCATGAATCATTAACTCGACATCATGCAACAACATCGAGAAGGTATTACAACAACATTTCTTATAATCCTGCATTGTTTATGAGACAAAACGTGCTCATATTCAACTCAAAATACAAACACTGACTGACAAATGCTACACGAAGAATGAGGATTATCTGGAAAAGAATGAAGTACATGGATTACCTGAAAATGCTACCACAGGCATGGACTTGCCCTTTTCAGTATTTTAAAGACAAATAATGGGCTTGCCTCGTACGAAAAGGAATAAATAGCTTAATGGTTGCACGATTAACTAGAAATGAATACTCTCCCTCCCTGATTCTCAAAAAAAAAAAAGAATACTCTCTCCCTCACTCTCTCCCTTTTTCTTTCCACGGTAAACAAGTCTGCAAATTTGGGAAGTAGATGAGTTCCCTATCTACTACTGGTCACACATCCCAAAATAACAAAATTGTCTAATTAAATCAACCTAGTTATGTCAGAATCCATATAAATTCGGACAATCCACAATTAAAAGGAAAATTAAAAATAATGATCATATGTACATGATTCAGGACATTCCATGTGCTCTTTTATTCAAAGATGTTGAATTCAAACATGCCCGTTGTTTTCAGAATGTTATTTTCAATTCCACTACTGAGCTGATTTTTCATAGAATGCACGTCCACATGAAGAAGGGTGGTATCACATATTATTCTTCTGTGAATTCTTCTGTTCACATATCGATATAGGTATAAGGCATTCATAACTACCATTATAGTGCATTGATCAACCAAAGTTAAATTCTACAAGTAAATCAAATATAAACATGTATATCTCTAAAGTCATCCACTTAACGAAGAGAATGAGAGTGCCTAAGCAAACAGTCCTTCGAAAAAACTACATATATTCAAAAGAAGGGATGCAGAAAAGAAAACAAAATGAAAGAAACTATTATTACCATGAAACAAAATGAAAGAAACTATTATTACCATGAGTAATCATCCTATGAGACCTTCCCACACTCATGTGTGTAAGACCCCAAATGATCACCGTTAAATTTGGCACAGATCCTTATAAAAGTTATTGTGGGACTTGACTTTTCTAGAATCTGTGCCAAATTTAACACTGATCCTTTGGGCTCCATGTTTGTTATTGTGGGACTTGACTTTTCTAGAATCTGTACCAAATTTAACACTGATCCTTTGGGCTCCTACAAACATGGGTGTGAGAGGGTCTCACAAGGTCATTTCCCCATTACCATTGGATGCATGAATTCAATAAAAAGAATCCCTATTTCTCAAAAACACAGTTGCACTATAAGAACCCTAATCCTCAGTAGAAACATGAAGCAGAATGAAAAGGACCGCATACATTAGCAGAAACAATAATAATAATAATAAATATTATTCACAAAAAACCGGACCTCGTCTCCAACTTTCCATCTCTGAACCTTTTCACCAACAGCTTCAACAACACCAGAGCATTCAAGTCCAGGATACTGAGAAGCACCCTTTGGAGGAGGATATCGCCCTTGTCTCTGACCAGTATCAGCCCTATTCAACGCGGTAGCTGCTACCTTTATCAAAACCTCATCTTCTCTGACCTTAGGATCCTCAACTTCCTGAATTTGCAGAACCTCTGGACCTCCTGGTTCAGTGATCACAATTGCTTTCATTCTTTTAATAGCGAGTGGAGTTAGAATAATTCATTGAGAAATTAGGGTTACAGAAATGGAGTTTTGATCTACTGAAACTAGGTTTTCTCAGCAGGGAATGGATCGGAGTAGAGCGAGAGAGTCCACCACAAATGACAGTAAATGTGACATCCTTATATGTCAGCATGTGGAAGAAGAAAGGATAGGCTACCAACGGGGAAAAAGTTCAGGGAAAATTTTGTATAGGACCCTAAATTTTTATACCATTTCATGGTAGGGCTTTTTTTTGCATTTTGCTTTCAAGCAAAATTTCGTATAGACCCTCTAAAGAGTCATATTATTTCACGGCAAGCTTAGTTTCTATTTTTATTTCAAGCATAAACTCGATTATAAAAATTAGCCCAAATAAAATTTTTTATATTATTTTAACCCAAAAACTTTTTATCCATCTTTTTTTATTTCCAACCATTAAAGAGTTGAAATAGCTTAAAAAGATTTGATGGGGTCAATTTTTATGAAAAAAAAGTCAATAAATAAAAAATAAAAAATAGGAGGGTACATTGAAATCTTTATACTTGGAAGAAAAATAGAAAGAATGTCTACCATGAAATAAAATGAGGAATTAGAGGCCTATATGAAATTTTTTCTAAAGTTTATATAGTTCCGAGGCTCTAAACAATCAAATTAGAGCCTACCTCAAAATTTTCATTAGAAGAGGTTGTATTGATGCCCAAATATCATCAAATTGATCATTTCAACATCGAGATGCATAGACACGAAAAAAAAAAAATGGATTTCAAATTTTGAAAATACTGTATTTTGTAACGTATTTTTTAACGGTCAATTTTCAAGATTTTCAAGTTTTCATAGAGATGTTGATCTACATTATTTTTAAGCTTTAAATTTTATAAATAAATATGAAAATATATTTCAAGGCTAACACAAAGATTTTCAGTGTTAAAACTACATTTCTCAACTGTGGTTGAAGGTAGGCTCCAATTTAATTGTTTAGAGCCTAGGCTAGAACAAACTGCACCCCACTACAAAGAGACCATTTATCTTTTGGGCATGGGGTCACAATGATTCCCACCCATTAGGATGGTTTGAGGTATGTCACGAATTCCAAAAATAATTTTTTTTGAAAATTTCAATGATGACTTGAAAATATAATTTATATCTAATTATAAATTTAAAACTCAAAAAATATTACAGATTGAGCTGATCTACAAATATATAAAAATCTTGAGAATGGTCGACATAATGTTTTACAAGATGTACTATTTTTGAGATTTTAATTGATTTATTTTTATCACATCATCTCGAGGTAAAGACAACCAATGTAGAGGATTTTTCAACATCGAAACAATATTTTTTTATAGATTTTTGTGCCGTACTTTTTTTCTTCAGTATACGATTGGAACCTTATATAAACATTTTTCCAAAAAAATGGCTTTCTTGATATCTAAACCTAGAGAGGGAATTGTTGGGTTTGGTGATAACAAAATCACCATACCCGTATTTTCTTGTAAAAGATTAAGGGTAATTTTGCAAAAAAGAATAAGAGCTTTCTTGAGAAGTAAGAAAGTGATATCTATATAAAAGTTAAAAAAAGGCATAGTACCCATCCTTTTGAGGGTTGCCCATTGAGGGTTACGGGAATGGATTTCTAAGATGGAGATTGGTCTCCAAGAAAGAGAGACATGGCTTCCGAGAGAGAGGCTGTATTCTCATGAGTTTTGGGTTGGTAAGGCTCTTTCGGTTGCTCTCGAAGTTATCTTTCCAGTAGCAGTGTTGCGGTAGGAAATAAGGTATGAATCGACGATGTTACTCGGTCGGGAGAGTAAGTTTAGAGGGTAAGATCGGTGACGGTCTTTTACTGATATTTAGAAATATGTATTATTTTCTGTAACCCAAAACTGTACTCTTCGTTGTGATAGTGGATTTCTAGTTGCCGAAGCCATGGATGTAGCCGTACGGGGTGAACCACTTAAATAGTGTGTCGTGGTGGTGTGATTTTTATGTTTGATTATTTATCTTACTCGATTTATAGTTACATTCATCTACTTCGTATTTAGTCAATCATATACACGATTTTGATTTGGGATCTCGATATTTGGGACTCCCGGTTCCACAGGCTAGGGGTTTCCGAGACCCTATAGGAATAACGAAGGAAATTTTACCTAAGGTGTTTGGAGCACCTCAAAAATCCCCTAATAAAGAGTGTTTGGACGCTGGAAATCCCCCAATTGATCTTTTCGATTTTGAGATTTGAGATATAAGATATACAGATGTGAATAAAAAATAATTTTAAGCCTTAAAAAAAGTGTACTTCATGGCAATTTATCTGAACCATTTATTGTTAATATTTTTAAGTGTTATTGATATGTTTAATTTGTACTATTTTTAAAACTTTAAAATTTATAAATAGCGTTGAAAATAGATTTTCAAGCTAAGGCACCTTATCAACATCTCGAGAGAAAAACTTAAAAGTGCATATTAACCCTACAATATATAGAGGACATCGTATATAAATCTCTCAAAAAATTTAGATATCAAGAGTGAAACTGTAGTTTTGTCAAAAAAGTTTACTTTAATCACACCCAACACATCAATGAGGCCGGCTGGTAAGTGTTTAAGCAATATTTTGGTTGCCGCTCAAAAACCATGGTGGAAAACTAGCTACACATTTTGAAGAATTCTTAAACAACCCCAACAACAAATAGTAGAGACTCGAATTTATCATCCAGAAATTTACATACTCCACCCATCCCTAAGTTTCTCCCCTCGCACCCTCCATTAAAAAGATCATCACATCCATTTCCCTTTCACTATTTTCATAGATCCCTTGGTTTAGTTTCTAAACTTATGGGACCAAAATACCCTTCTTTAATATCATGGGAAAAAAAAAAAGATAATTCTCGTTTTCCTTTCTAGTCCATGTTTTTTTTATTAAGAAATTACATATGAACACATTTTGTGCAAGTTTATTACGAGATGGTGTCCTTTTTACCACTAATTACGAGGAGCCTCTCCCCTATGTGTTTTTTTTTTTTTTCCCCTTCTAAATTGCCCCCTGGTGAAATTACAATAAAAAAAAATAAAGAAAATGAATAGATTAATACAACATATATATGATTCAGCAATGGTGCCCACATCCACGAAGGGTAAACCAATATCTCATTTATAATGATTACTCGGGTTTACCAGATATTTATAGAGTTACAAATCTCATCTTTTAGGAAACAAATCTCCCTACAACTGTAATCCTACAAAATAGAAAACTTAATATCTTGTAATATCTTATAATATACAAGATAATAAACTCAATATCTAGTTTCTATAACCGTCAACACTCCCCTTCAAGTTGGTACGTAGATATCAATGGAGTCTAACTTGGATAGTATCTGATATAACTTTATCTTTGCAATAGCTTTGGTAAACATGTCTACAAGTTGGTGTGCAGTTTGAACATAAGAAGTACGAATAATTTTTTACTGAACAATCTCTTACAAAGTGACGTCTACAAGTTGGTGTACAGTTCGAACATAAGAAGTACTAATAATTTTTTACTGAACATTCTCTTACAAAGTAACAATCAACTTCTATGCGTTTAGTTCTTTCATGAAAAACTAGATTGGAGGCTATATACATAGTTGTTTGATTATCACAGAACATCTCCATTAGATTGAACGTTGGTGACCCCATATCTTGAAGTAGGTATTTTAGCCAGCCACATTGATTTACTTGTAATTGAAATTATAGCTTTATATTCAGCCTTTGTACTCGATCGAGTAACTACATTTTGTTTTGTGCTTTTTCAAGTAACTAAGTTTCCTCTGACTAATGTTCAATAGCTAGTAGTGGACATCATGTTAATTGGACTACCTGCCCATTTAGCATCAAAATAATCAATAATATTCGTGTGAATTAGAAGGTCGGGTTTCTCAGAAGGTTGACCATATGGTTTCAACCATACACAAATATTATTACATACAAGACCTTTCATCATGACACTCGACATGAGAAAGGTGATTCTTTAAGTCCATAGACAACTTTATTTAATTTTTATACAAGACCTTTCTCTTTTCTTTAGAAAGGCCTAAATGAATACACATACAAACGTTTCTTGACGATCACCATGTAAGAATGCACTTTTAACATCCATTTGATGCAGTGACCATCCACAAATAACTGCGATGGACAAAAAAATACGAACCGTATTCATCTTTACAAGTGGTGTAAAAGACTCTTTATAGTCGATTCCATAAGTTTAAATCCTTTGACTATCAACTTGGCCTTATGTCTCTCAATAGACCCATCACTATTATATTTAATTTTAAAAGCCCATATACATCTAACTGTTTTCTTCCTTTTAAGTAACTTGACAATGTCTCGAGTATGGTTCTCGTCAAGTGCCCGAAGTTCCTCTTTCATGACCCTCCTCCACACAGGTTGAGAAATGACATTTTAAAAATTAGTTAGCTCAAAATTATTAGAGATAGAATTTAGAAAAGCAAAATAGTCAGGAGATATATTTTCATAATAAATATGATTTTGATTAGGATAAGAAAGTGCATAGTAAGTATAAAAATCTTGAAGTCTAGAGGAAGGTTGAGATATACGATAAGACCTATGCAAATGCGGATCAGGTGGCGCCACGACAAAGTCTTCTTCTTCTAAACCAACTTGGTGAGTTTCAGAGGTATCTTCAACTTCGGTTTGATCATCATGATTTGTTCTGGGTGTATTGAACACATCACTGATATAACATTAGGCAAAGGCAAATGACCGCTTAAACATTCTCCCTGAGTCCTATTTTTCAAACCACTCTCCAATGTGTCATGAAAATATGATTCTATTTCAACAAATTGAACATCTATGAAAATATGAATATTTTTGGGGTTGGGATCATAACGTTTGTAACCCTTATGAGTAGAAGAGTATCAAGAAAGATACATATACTAAAACGTTTATCAAGTTTCTCCCGGTTTTGCCCAGCCACATGAACATAAGACATCCAAATATACGCAAGTGAGACAAATCATTTTTTCTATTTTTCAAAACTTCAAGGGGAGATCTATCCTTAAGAATTTACTTTGGAAGTCTGTTAATCAGATAGCAAGCAATTAAAACAACTTCAGACCAATAAATTTTTGGAACATGTATCTGAAACATCAATGACCTTGTAGCTTCTAAAAAGTGTCTATTTTTACTTTCAACAACTCCGTTCTGATGAG